TTTTTTTTTTGTAGAGACATATTCTCATTTTGTCGCCCTCGGTAGAGTGCTGCGGCATCACAGCTCATAGCAACCTCCAACTCTTGGGCCTAAGCCATTCTCTTGCCTCAGCGTCCCGAGTAACTGGGACCACAGGCGCCTGCCTCAACACCCGGCTATTTTTTTTTGTTGCAATTTGGCCGGGGACCAGTTTGAACCCGCCACCCTCGGTATATGGGGCCGGCGCCCTGCCCACTGAGCCACAGGTGCCGCCCCACCCGAGGGCACTTTAATGACACTATTTACCTGCCGGCCCTCTAGTTTGAGATCTTTGGGATGCGGGCGGGGGGTGGGGAGCGATGCCCCTCTACCGACTCTCAACAAGGAAAGCGGAGCTCTCGATATGAGTCCGGGTTCATCTCAATTCTCACAGCCGCCCTATAGGGTGCTCGTTCCATCACTCACAACTTGCACACGAGGAAAGTGAAGTGATGGTTCTAAGGCGCAAAGGAAATGAGGGGTCCAACATCGAATCTGAGGCCACACTCACAAGTCAGCTACATCACGCTCCCCAAACTACCTCTGCCCCGCACCAACTATAATACTTCATAGGAGAGCCCCTACGGGTCGAGGGCAGGGCCAAGATCAGCCGCTATTTTGGGACCGACCCTCCGAGATAGGACTGTCACACGTCGCGCGCAGAGTACTGTGGGAAAATTCAGGGCAGTGCCTTGGAAGGACCCCGCCGCCTCCACGTTAGTTGTCTTAGCTTTTGCCTAGAAAGGTGCATCACCATGGCACTTATTTTGTCACATTTTCCTGCTAGCGGTTAAAACTCGAGCTGAAGTTCTTTCGAAAAAAGTCTCTAAGCGGTTGTTTCGGTTGCATTAGGCATTCATTCGGGCAGCTAACCCCTTGGCGGGGGCGGTCCTTCACTCACATGTCCACTATGGACAGAAGAGGCTGCCAATCAGCTCCAACGAGTACCAGAGGGCGGCAGAGCTAGCCCTTAAAGGAGCCGCAACCCCTAAGCAGACCAAGGGTAGCTCGGATGATGGCGGCCGCTTCGGTCCTAGCCGTGGCACTGTGGCTATTACTACTTCCAGTGGATGTGGCGGGGGGGGGGGCCCCCCCCCCGCCGATTCAAGATGGCGAGTTCACGTTCCTGTTGCCTGCAGGGAGGAAGCAGTGTTTTTACCAGTCTGCGCCAGCCAATGCAAGCCTTGAGACTGAGTACCAGGTAAAGGGTCCCAGGTTGCAGAGCTAGCGAAGTCAGGGTGGGGGCGTGGCCAAGCGCCGAGGCGAGGCTGGTCTCAGAGGTAAAGGGGAGGAGCCTGTATGGTGGGAGCGCGGGGGCGGAGCTAGGGAGATTTCAAGAAGGGGCGGGGACGGCGCGCAGGAGTAATGAGGAGGCGGGGCTAGGGACCGCAGATGGGGCGGGGCCAATGGGAAGTAAAGGGGGCTCTTCAGAACACTGGAGTCTCACCGGTAGGCGTGGCCAGTATGCTGATAGGTAGGCTATTAGAAGGTGGCCGAAGCGACTATTTCTCAGGGATTGGGCTAAGGAGAGAATAGGGCTCTTTCGTTTTACGGAGTGGGTTAAGTGAAGGGGCGTGTTCAATTACACGCCAATCAAGGATTTTTTATGAGGGCGTGACCAGGTGCAAGTACTGACATAGTATCTGCTGTATTAATGAAGGCAGCAAGGCATGGGTTGCAGCCAGAGGGAATGGTGGGAAGCGTTCAAGTTGGAGGTGTGTCTGCGCTCAAGTAGGTTCTCCTGGGCAGGCGCCCCTGGGCTACCGCTAACCCTCTCTACCCCTTTTTACCTGCTCCTCAGGTGATTGGAGGTGCTGGGCTGGACGTAGATTTCACACTGGAGAGCCCTCAAGGTGTGCTTTTGGTCAGCGATTCCCGCAAGGCTGATGGGGTGCACACGTGAGTTATGTTCTGCTTCCTGCCTGGGTTCAGTTACTGCCCTGCCCCTCCTCTGCAGCCTCTGGTTACCGCCCTGCCTGCCCCTCAGAGTCTGGTCGGCCGGCCATGTCTGAGTGTGTGTCATGACTGCGTGTGTATGTGTGTCTGTCTGCCCAGGGTGGAGCCCACAGAGGCGGGAGACTACAAGCTTTGTTTTGACAACTCCTTCAGCACCATCTCTGAGAAGCTAGTGTTCTTCGAACTCATCTTTGACAGTTTGCAAGATGATGAGGAGGTGGAGGGCTGGGCAGAGGCGGTGGAGCCAGAGGAGATGCTGGATGTCAAAATGGAGGACATTAAGGTGCACCTACGCCACTCCTTGAGGTTGTCTGGCATCGAGCAACAGGGTGCTCGTGCCCTCTCTTCAGCTGGAGTTCCCCCTTGGCCTGACCCAACCTCCCCTACATTGTAGTGCCTCCAACTGAATTATAACAACGGTAACTCCATTAAAAAAATAGCTTATTTCTAGGTGTAATCCCTGTTTTAAAGAGTTAAATAAGGTATACTCACCTCATAAATCTCCATAGCCACCTCATGAAGTATCGCCTGTGCTCTAATTACCCCCAGTTTATAGTTGGGGAAAACCAAGGCACAGGATAGCTAAGTAACCCAAGGCAGAACAGTATTTAAATCCAGGCTGTCTGGCTTCAGCAACTATGCTCCTAATGACAAGTAAACATGTTTTGTACATTTGTTTAGGCATTCACTTTTCACATCAACTCTTGAGGTTTATAGAAATCGAAACTTAGGCCCAGAGCTTAATTAACTCATGGTCACACAACCATAGTGGAGGAATAAGGATTAGGACTTAGGCAGCATGGTGGGTCACACCCTTTTCTTCCCAGGTGTTACTGATTTGTTTTGTGATGGGCAGAAGTCTGACCCTGTTCCTTCCTCTGCCCTGCAGGAGTCCATTGAGACCATGAAGAGCAGGCTGGAGCGCAGTATCCAAATGTTGACACTGCTTCGGGCCTTTGAGGCACGTGACCGCAACCTGCAGGAGGGCAACCTAGAGCGGGTCAACTTTTGGTCAGCCATCAACATGGCTGTCCTACTGCTGGTGGCTGTGCTGCAGGTCTGCACAGTCAAGCGCTTCTTCCAGGACAAGCGCCCTGTGCCCACGTAGCCTGTGCCCTAGAAGGAAGTATGAGAAACAGGAGGGCCAGTGGGACCTGGGTGTGTACAACTTGGGGGAGGATGCTTCCCCAGCTTAGCTTCCTGCAAGGGAAGGCTGTGTAGTCAGGGCCTGAGACAGGCCCCATGCATCTCCTCCCTTCCTGGGCAGGCAACAGACACCAGTAGCTTGCTGGCCTCTGTCCTCTGGGTGGGGTGGCTCAGCAGCTATTATCTACTCCCCTGGAAATCATGCTGGGGGAGTCACTGCAGCATTGCAATGTGACCATTGGATTTTCTGGCCTCCCTTATTGTAAATGTGCCTTAACCGAAGTCTTTTAGCCTGCGTCAGTGCTGCCCTGTGTGGGATAAGGCCCGGGAAACAAATCCTGCCCTTCCCTGCCTGGTTCCCTATGCCAGATCATGCTGGGAGGGGGCCTGATGCTTGTTCTAGGGGCTGGGAAGGAAACACAACTGCAGAATTGTTGCCAGGATAGTTGCTTTATTCATTAAGAAGGGGCCCTGGTCCCTCAACCCATGGCGGGGGTGGGAGGTGAGGCAGCTGCTTGTGAGTTCTGGTGACAGAACTCCAGGAGGGGGCTTCCAAGACCCCCCTGCTCATCCCCTTCTTCCTGTAGTGGCCCCAGACAGGGCTAAGGGATGTCCCAGCCAAAGCCCAACCAGGAGCCTCAAGGAACAAAGGACTGTCTGGCTTGGGCACAGGAGTCAATAAATTATGGACAGAAAATCACAGAGCCTGGTGAATGGGATTTAGGGGACACCAGCCAAGACAGACTGCCCACACCATAGGGGCAGCCAGGTGTGCAGCAGGGGGGCTCCCACGAAGCTCAGAAGAAAGGTCGTGCGGGAGCCGATGGAGGTGGTCGCCTGGGCACAAGAGAAAAATCAGAGGAAAGTTTAACTGTGTACCCACTGGGGCCGCAAGGCCTGGGACTCCCAAGAGGGCAGAAGGGGGCCCCTGCATGTCTGGCAGCATTGTGTTTGTGTGGGTTTGGTGGAGGGGTAGGGAACGTCTGCCTTCAGTCCTAAGGTGTTTAGGAAAAGTGCTCCCCTCTGCCACATGGTTTCTTGCAGCAGAAGTGAACCTGCTCCTAACAGTAGAGGAGAGCCCCAAATAAGGTGTGAGAGGCCCATGAGGGTCTTTGTGGGAGGCCTGCTGAGGAAGGCAGGTGCCCACGTGCTCATCCTGAACACCAACACAAAAGGCCCACACGATAACCACCAGAAGTTTCTTCTCTTTATTTTAGTTTATTAATAGGATACAGAGTGCAGGCACTTATAGTGGTCAAATTGAGCAAGGAACGAGCGAAGTCTGCTCAGAGAGTGGTACCTGGGGCCCACCCAGTGGGGGGGGGGCTGGAGGCCCCCAAAGGCCCCCCCCCCAATACAGCCCCTAACCCAAGCCACTCAGGAAGAAGAGAAAGCTGAGAGCAGACACAATGAGGCTGGCCCGGTCTGGCTGTTCCAGGCGTGGTGAAGGCACCTCTGGTAGCCCAAGGCTGGCTGGGCTCAGACTCTGTGGTTAATATGGCCAAGGAAGAACTATGTACAACTTGGGCCTGGTGAGTGTGTGGGTAGGTGGGGAGTACTGCACCCACTGGGACCAGCACATTCCTGAGGAGCTCCTACTGGTGAGATGTGGACATAGTCCTGTGCCCCACCAAGCACTCGGGGATAAAGTCACCCTTGGTGCCCTGGCTTCCAGAAGGCCTGATCTGCATGGGTTTTCCTGGCCAGAGGAGGCTGTGGCAGAGTTTACTCCACCCAAGCCCAGACTCCTCAACTCAAGGAGGTACCAGGGTACAGGTACCCCCTCTGCAACCCTGAGACCCCATCCCCCAAAGTGCAACACTCCATGCCCCCCAACAGAGTCACCAGGGCCCCTTTTCTTAAAGTGGTATCCAGCTGGGGACAGAACCAGGTTTAAGGGAGAAGCAGGGGCTGCCCACAGGGAGCCTGGTCCTGGTCTAGAGGCAGTAGAGGGGCCCAGGCCACTGAAGCTCCTGCGCCATGGGTGCGCAAGGCCCCCAGGATGCACCCCCTGTGTGGCCTAGTCGAGCAGGGATGGCTCGGCTGGGCGGATAATGGTGGGCCGGCTGGGCGCAGCAGGGGGTCTTCTGCTGCAAAAAGAATAGAGACAGATGGGAGGGGAGATGGTAGTGAGGCCACAAGCAGGTTGCCTGGTGAGGAAAAGGGCCCTCCACCCCCACTCCAAGGTGCTCACAGTGCTGGCTGCTTTGTAGGCCACCAGGGTGTTGGGAAGGAGTTTGCCCAAAGTCACTTGCCTGCCATATGACACTGGGCCAGTCCCCTACCCTCCCTGGACTTCAGCTTTCCCCACAGAATTGCTGGGAATATAGCTGGCCTACAGGGTAGGTTGAGGAGGGGAGGGGCAGGAAGAAGAAAAGGGCAGATAGTGGGGGAGGTCCGCAGCGTGAGGGGTCCCCAGCTGTGTTATGATCCACCCACATATGCAGGGGCCAAGCCCTGGAATCACTGGTACTCTACCACTCTGTGGCTTTGGGCAAGCAACATGGCCTTTCTGAGCCTTGGTTTCCCCACTAGCAAAATAGGTATGAGGATGGTACCTCTTATGCCCTGCTGGCACCCATTAGGAGGGTGTCCAGTTGGAAGAGAGACCCCAGGTGGAGGCAGCAAGGGTTTGCCCTTACCTGGGCACTCCGGGGGGGATGCCGGGGGGGATCCGCACTGGCCGAGATGGGATCTGAGGTGGGGCCAAGAAGGGATCGTTGTTGGCAAACACACTCTGGGGCCCAGGCCGGGATGGGATGGGGGGTGCCGAGAAGGAGGCTGTTGCCCCGATGGGCACAGGAATCAGAGGGGGCCCTGGTGTGGGGCCCCGGACAGCTGGGGGCCGTCCTGGGGGGTGTATGCTGGACACAGGCCGGCGCTGTGGAGTAGGGCTGTGGAGGAAAAAAGGGCGTGAGCTGTAGAGGGCTGGTGCCTGGCTATGCCAGCGGGGAGTACAGCCCAGTAGGATCCTCCCACCCCCAACCTGTGCCCTAGCCTCTCTTCAAACAAAGCCTCAATGCTTCCAGGGGGCTGCAGGACTTGCAAACCTCTGCCTGGGAACCACAGGCTGCCTCCTGGCCCGGCATCTGCTGTCCCCTCTCCCTAGGGAACTCCACGGCTCCCTGAGGTCTCAGGGGACAGTATCCTGAGCATAGAGTTAGGGATATGTTTGTGTGGCTTCTCCTACAGCTCTACCTCCAACAGGCACCTGCCCCCATCTCTGGCCTTTTCAGGTCTCAGCTGGACTGTGCCATCCGGACTTGGGCTCCTTCACCCTGCCCACCCTTAGGTCGTGCCTTGTTTCCTGCCAGGACTCTGACTGACATATGGAGGGAGTTGGGCACCCATAGGCAGCAGCTTCCGAGGTAGTCTCGAGACTGTGCCTCCCAGACCTGTGGCTGCTGGCACTCTGCAGCCAGGTGTCATCAACGGGCGGGGGCACAGGTGTAGACACGGTGCTGGTGCTGATGTCTCCGATGATGTTGAGTGCCTCCTTGAGTGCATGGTACATGCGCAGCATCTCATCCCGCCGTTGGGCCTGGTCGGCGGATTCCTCCATGAGGCTGCTCTGGTCCGCCGAGGAATACAGGTAGGCTAGCAGCTCATGGTGAATAAAGGCTTTTGTCTGGGGTGGGGGGTAAGGGTTGAAGAGGTCAGGCCTTCCTCCCACTACACCAACCAAGAATTCGGCAGATCATTGCCACTGGCTGGAAAAGTATCCAGCACACATGGCAAGGCCTCCTTGTATTTTACAATACCTTAGAGAAGTGGTCCTCAAACTTTTTTATAGGGGGCCAGTTCACTGTCCCTCAGACCGCTGGAGGGCTGGACTGTGGGCCCTGGGACAAGTCGGCTGCTAAGCATGACAGGCAGTGGCAGTAAAAACACCCCGCGGGCCAGATAAATGTCCTAGGCGGGCCACATGTGGCCTGCGGGCTATAGTTTGAGTATGCCTGCCTTAGAGCCCATAATAGGCACACAGTGTAGGATAGCCATCCACCCAGGAGTCTCCCAAAGCCCTGGGAGATGCTTTATTTATTTGTTTATCTGAGACAGAGTCTCAAGCTGTCACCCTGGATAGAGTGCCATGACATCATAGCTCACAGCAACCTTCAACTCTTGGGCTCAAGAGATCCTCTTGCCTCAGTTTTTCTATTTTTAGTAGAGATGGGTTCTTGTTTTTTGCTCAGGCTGGTCTCGAACTCATGAGCTCAAGCAATCCACCTGCCTTAGCCTCCCAGAGTGCTAGGATTACAGGTGTGAGCCACCTCGCCCAGGCTAAAGATGAGTATACTTGATGCATTTTGAATTGTGAACCATGTGAGTGCACTTGCTATTCAAAAACTTAACTTTTGGCTGGGCATGGTGGCTCATGCCTGTAATCCTAGCACTCTGGATTGCTTAAGCTCAAGGAATTTGAGAGCACACTGAGCAAGAGTGAGACCCTGTTTCTACTAAAAGAAAAATTAGCCAGGTGTTATGGTGGGCACCTGTACTCCCAGCTACTCAGGAGACTGAGGCAAGAGGATGCCTTGAGCCCCAGAATTTGTGGTCGCTGTGAGCTGTGATGATGCCATGGCACTTACCCAGAGCAACAAAGTAAGACTGTCTCAGGAAACAAAAAGAAACATTTAACTTTTTTTTTTTTTTTGCAGTTTTTGGCCAGGGCCGGGTTTGAACCTGCCACCTCCGGCATATGGGGCCAGCACCCTACTCCTTTGAGCCATAGGCACTGCCCCCGAACATTTAACTTTTAAAAAATAGCATAAGGGAAAATAAAATATAATCTATAGGTATAAAAGGGTAAAGTGAGAACCCCTTTTTCTGGTCTGGCTTCTCAAGCCCCCAGGATCCTGTCCTGGGAAGCAACTATTCTCACCAGGGTTCTTGTACAAACATCTAGAGCAATTGTTCTCAACCTGTGGGTCGTGACCCCTTTTTAACAATGAAAATACATTGTGGCATTAGGAAGGTTGAGAAACAGTGTTCTAGAGATTTCTGTGCATATATATTTCCCTTCCCTTTTTTCATACATATTCTGTTATGCTCCATATCTTTTCTATTTTTTTTGAGACAGAGCTCAAGCTATCCCCCTGGGTAGAGTGCCATGGCATCACAACTCACAGCAACCTCCAACTCCTGGGCTCAAGCGAGTCTCCTGCCTCAGCCTCCCAAGTAGCTGGGACCACAGGCACATGCCACAATGCCTGGCTATTTTTTGGTTGCAGCTGTCATTGTTCTTTTGGCGGGCCCGGGCTGGATTTGAACCCGCCACCTTAGGTGTATGTGGCTGGCACCTTAGCCACTTGAGCCACAGGTGCCGAGCCCGTATCTTTTCTATTTAATAAGGATGTTCGAGACCTGAAAAGTTTCCTCACTTCTTCTTTAAATAATGAGCAATTCAATGAATATCTATTAACTGGATAGTTATTTCCAGTCTTTGATCATTATAGAATATTGCTGAAAGAGTAGCCATGTACAAGCTCATTTTGCATGTGGGCAAGTGTATCTGTGGGAGCCTTTGGCCTCCTTCCCACTGGAAGGAGGGAATGAGCAGTTCACAGGAAAAGACAGGAGTCACCACCTAGGCCACCAATATGATTTCTAAAAGTAAAGTTGCCGTGTACAAGCATATATATGCATTTAATTAATTAATTAATCCTTTTTTTTTAATATCACGCCTGGCTACATTTTAAATTTAACATTAAATTACCAAGGGCAACAAAGTGAGACTCTATCTCCAAAATTAAAAAAAAAAAGGTGGTGGTTCTTTCTGATATTTGGTGTCACACTCACATTGTTGATCATGAGGTGCATGATGGTCTTTGGCATGAGGTCACGGATGGACTTGTTGATGATGGCCACATATGAGTCCACCAGGTTGCGGATGGTCTCCACCTGCCGCTCTAGCTGTGGGTCCATGGAGAAGGTATTCTCCTGGGCCCCGTCCTCATTTTCTGCCTGTAAGTGGGAGGAAGAGGTGGTGGTAAGAGGCGACTGCAGCCTGAGGCAGTCTGGGAACTACCTTCCCTGTCCTACCAACACCTGACCCTTTAAGCCTGGCTCCTCACAGCCCTGTTGGCACCACGTGGCTCTGCCTGGCTCTGGGCAGAGCTACCCAGACCTGGGATGACTCTGGCTTAACCTGGATTGGATCCTCTAACCCAGGGACAGGAAGAACATATTAGTTTGGGGGCCAAGGATGCCTGTGTTCACCCTACCTCGTAGGAGAAAAGAGAGCAAAGCAGATGCAATCCCACTACCCACGCGTTTTCCTGTCCTTGGCTTCAGATGGAGAACTTTCTGGGCCCTGAAGACAAACTGTCTCCCTTTTTCCTTTGCTCACTTGGGTTGGCTAAGTTCCTTCAGAGTCCTGGCAAACACAGCCTGGAAGTAACCTGACTTATGGACCATTGTGCCTTCCCCTCCAGGCAGGGTTTGCTCAGCACTAGGTGTCCTGGCTAGGAAGGGTGGCTCCTTACCTGGTCCTTCTCGGGGTAGACCCCAGCTCGGAGGAATGAGGCCTTCCAGCTGTCCACATCCTCCTGGGAGTCGCAGGCCAGCTCGATCTGCCGCAGGTCCTTGTAGACATTCCTGCAGTGGGATGAAAGGGCATTCACTTGACCTTGCCTGTGCACCTGGCTGACCACTAGGAAGACGGATCAGGGACTCCAACTCAACCCATGTACTCATGACCCAAAGTGGCAGAGTATTATCAGCACCTTCACCATGTGCTGCAGAGGGGTCTCCCTTAGTTATCCCTACAGCAAACAAAACAGGGCTGAGCATAGCATCCAAGCTCAAAGAACCATGGCATGCAGTGGCATCTGTGGTCTTCACATATTGGTGGACCCCTATCCAGTGGGAAGGAAGGCCAAAGGCTACCAACGAGCCCCCAGAGATGGACATGTGTCCCACAACATCCACCCCTTGCTAGGGAGCTCCAACTGAGGTGGTTTCAGAGAAACCAGATGCAAGTCGGAGTGGCGCTGACCACCAGAACTTTCTGTGATGGTGGAAATGATTTCTACCTGCATTGTCCAATGAGGTAGTCCCAAGCCACAGATGGCTTCTGAGCTCTATGGGTGTCTTGGGCTCTAACACCCATAGAGTTGCCTCACCTTTCCTGGATACAGATAAAGACTGGATTATATTGAGATTAAAAAAATAAGCAACCATCTATCTAGTTTGTGAGTATTATCCTGAGTTTCCTAAAACTACTCCTAAAGGAGGTATCTGGTAATCCTGTTATACCACTGTACAGGGGCCCAGGGCTCAGGGCCCAGGGAGGTGGGACAACTGTCTGGTATCTGCTTAGCTAACGCACATATGTACATACATGTGCAGCCTGGACCAGAGGCAAAATCCTACCTAGAAGGGCTAGAAAGGCTTTAGGGACCAGTTGGTGGCTAAACTGGGTATTTGAGCTGTAGCCCAGGACAAAGGAGCATAGAACTTTTTCTTATACAAAACAGGAAACTTAGCTAGAATGGTCAGGTACAGGCAGACAGCTGGGTAAGAAGTCCTAGGGCTGGCAGGGAAGAAAGCAGTGCCTGCTGGCTGGTCACATAGTGCCACCAGGCCTTTGCTGACAGCTAAGCCCTAACTCAGGTGGTTTCTAGATGAGTGCCATGAGTCTAGGGAGGGGCCCTCTTGCCACCTGGTCTCTTCCGGAGAACAGTGTTTTCGCCTGTGTTAAAATATCCAGCCAGTGGGTCGGGCACGGTGGCTCACACTATAATCCTAGTATTCTGGGAGGCCGAGGTAGGTGGATAGCTTGAGTTCATGAGTTTGAGATCAGCCTGAGCAAAAGCGAGACCCCATTTCTACTAAAAATAGAAAAACTAAGGCAAGAGGATCTCTTGAGCCCAAGAGTTGGAGGTTACTGTGAGCTATGATATCACAGTACTCTACACAGGGTGACAGCTTGAGACTCTGTCTCAAAAACCAAACCAAACCAAACAAAAAAACAGCCAATGCTTCTTGAGACAGATTTTTTCCAAGAGTCTCGTGGGACTTGCATCTGATGACTGTAAACACCATCCACATGATGACAACTCAATTCACATCCTGCCCAGAGCTCATTCCTGACCACCAGATTCCTATACCTCTCAGGTCCCTCCTTGACATCCCTCTCCCTTGGCATAGCCCCACTTGAGTTCCTAACTGTCCCTAGATCTATCCTGCCTATACCATCCCAGCTCAGCCAATGGCAGCAGCAGCTCGTTCTCTCCAAGAGCTCAGACCACAGTCCTCAGTGTCACCACCAACACCTTTCTCACAGCCATACCTGCCAAAAGATTTGATAAGCTCTGTCTGATGCTACCTTGAACTCACCTTGCCCTCCACTGTATCCTTGGCCCCACTGGGGTCTCCTTCCATTACCTCCTGCCTGGGCCAGGCGGTTACTTCTGCCCTGGTTCCCCAGGCTCACACCCCGTCTGTTCCCTGCACAGCCACCAGAGGGTGCCTGTGAGCACCAGAGCAGGCCCCAGCCCCCAACTCTGCGCAGAATACTCCATGACTCCCACATCTCTCAGAACCTTCTCGGTCCCCATCTCTGCCCAGGTCACCAGGCTGCTACCCTCACCCCCATCTATTCCCTGCATAGCCATGAGAGGGTACATGTAAGCACCTGAGCAGGCCCCAGCCCTCCTCTGCTCAGAACACTCCATGGCTCCCACCTCCCTCAGACTCCTCTCCCTACCTATCTCTGCCCAGACTGGCCTTCTCTGCCCCAGGATCAGGAGCACCCATGGCACATTCTCATCTCTCACCCAGCTTTCTTTAATGTGAGACCCCAGAGCAGGGACCACTGAGAGCAGGTGCTCAATGAACATTGTCCAATGTCTGCATCCCTGGTGGACCCTATACCTCTGCTCCGTGTTGAAGATGGCAAAGACATGCTTATTGGACATGAAGCCCTTCTCCACGTCACGGATCTTGAGGTTGTCCAGAGGCAGCATGTACTTTTTCTCCTTTTCCTGAGGGTGGAAGGGGAAGGGATCACTCTGGGCGGTCTATGTGACATCTCAGGATGTCCTAGGCCAGAACAACAGCCAGCACCTCATGTTCCCTGTGCTGGTCAGTGGTGAAGATTTACTCACCTGCCCTGGCCATGCTGGCCTCCTGGCCCCTCCCCAAGCATCCCAGATGGGCTCCTGCCCCAGGGTCTCTGCACATATGTGGGTTTTGCCTATGCCTACAGGGCTCCCTCCTGGCCTCCTCAGGTCTTTGTGCAGAGGGAACACTTCACCTTGATGCAATCCTGCATCCTCCTTCCCTTTGTTGCAGTTTGACTGGGGTCAGGTTTGAACCTGCCACCCCCAGTATATGGGATTGGCGCCCTACCCACGAGCCACAGGTGCTGCCCAGGGGTTTTCTTTTGTTGCTCTTTCTGGTTGCTCTAAGGGCCACCTACAAGATTCTGGGCCAGGAAGCAGCAGGACAGCTGGGGGACCACGGAGGAAGGCACCCTGCACCCACTCCCTGTATAAACTGGCAGCCCAAGGGAGGGGACAGCAGCAAAGCCAGGCTGTCCCCTATTCCTGGGTCTGGGTCCCCCAAACTCTCTGGGAAGAGTTTTGAGGGCTTTAGAAGAGGCCAGATAGGGGGGCTCTGTAGGAAGAGCCTGGAAGTTTGCACATGGGTCTTTGCTGCCCTGACCCTATCCTGCTGTGAGGCCAGAATCTTCCAGTCAGTCATCTAGGCCAAGTAACTGAGTCACAATCTGTTTTGGCTTCCAGTGAGGTGTCCCATCTGGAAGTGTTTAGAGCGATTCTGCCCAGATGGCAGGGGTGGCCTTCCTAACACAGCCAGCTCAAACATGCACACATAGTCACACATGTGCACAGAACACACACACAAGCACTTGTGCACCCTCTTCCCTGCCCCAACCCCCCCAAAACAGATCTCCAGCGCACTAAGGCCACAGACCCAAATCCCTCCTGCCCCCCACCTCTTTAGGATTTCCTGAAGATCCAGAACTTTCTCCAGGTGCAAGCAGGCCCCAGTCTTGCTCTCAGAAGAGTACAAGAGTTGGAGTGGACTATCTTGGGGGAAGCGGTGGCCTTCTTGTCTGCTGGTAAACGCTGAGCTGTAGCTACACACAGTGGCCCAGAGGCCATCTGAGGGGCTAGAGACAGCCAGCCATGCCAGCCCAGCGTTCAGACCACCTGTGCAGGAGCCTCTGAGTGCACAGTAGTTTACACATTGGTTCGGCCAAGCCAGGTGAGCAGCACACCAGGACAGCCCCTCTGGACCCTTCAACTTTCTGCCATCCCAGCCCCCAATAAGGGGCACTTCCCCAAGACCCCAAGAAGAGAGGTAGGTGGGACATCTCGAGGGGTAACCAGAGAAGCCTGGGCTGTCCACTGAGGCCTTCTGGCCTGGGTTAAGGGCTATGCCATCCCATGGATCATATGTACTGGCCAGCTGGCCAGCCTTGTACCTAACGCAGCAGTAAAGAGGTCAACTGACACTCAAGGTCACACATAGCCCTCAGTGTTGTCTGTGGCAAAAGCACATCTCTCTGAGGCTCCAGTCCCTCCATAGTGTATAATGGGGTGGGTTGGGGGGTGGTTCCCTCCTGCAGAGCATAGGACTAAGAGGAGGTGACCACCAGACATAAGCTGTGAGCCAGGCACAGTGCATCCTCCCTAGATGACTCGTGCAGAGCAGAGGGAGAGGCTAGTTTTGACTTTATATAGGTGGAGAGACGACAAAACGCTAAGGGTTTAAGCCATTTGCCCAAAGGGGCACCTGTGGCTCAGTGGTTAGGACACCAGCCACATGCTCTGGGGCTGGCGGGTTCGAACCCAGTCAGGGCCTGCTAAACAACAACAACAAAATAGCCGGGTGTTGTGGTGAGCTGCAACCCAGCTACTTGGGAGGCCAAGGCAGGAGAATTGCTTGAGCGCAAGAGTTTGAGGTTGCTGTGAGCTGTGATGGCACAGCACTCTACCAAGGGTGACAAATGTGGGTAGGCGGCACCTGTGGCTCAGTGAATAGGCCACCAGCTCCATCCATATACCAAGGGTGGGTTCAAACCTGGCCCCGGCCAAACTGCAACAACAACAACAACAATAACAACAACAAAATAGCTGGGCGTTGTGGCAGGTTCCTGTAGTCCTAGCTACTCAGGACGCTGAGGCAAGAGAATCACCTATGTCCAGGAGTTGGAGGTTGCTGTGAGCTGTGTGACACCACAGCACTCTACCGAGGGTGACAAAGTGAGACTGTCTCTACAAAAAAAAAAAAAAAAAGAATAGCCTGTGGGCTTCTCCCAGAGCAACCTAAGAAAATCAAAGAAACACAGCACCCATTACTGGGGACACCCAGAAGCCAGCCTTATCTGTTTCAAAATGGAAAAGGTCGCTGTGCTTAAGACATAGCTAAGCAATGGTTATGCTGAGACCTAAGTAAGAAAGGGGCCAATCAGGAGGGGATAGAGGGCCCGGGTGGAAGTGCTTGGCCATGCTGGGGTTGGTGGTACTCCCAGTCTGCCCCACAGTTTGTAGTGTGTGAGCCCCTTACATGACTACAAAGCAACAGACACAGCCCCCGGGGAGATCACTGCCCCTGCTCCCAGAGGCCTTAGACTTCCTTGTCATCATGATACTCGCTATGGCCAAGCACCATGCACTGGGCAGGGACTCGAACCCATCTCACTTTAAAGACAGGAAAACTGAGACTCAGAGAGATGAAGTGCCAGTCGGGTCCTATAGATAATGAAAACTATACTGGGGATGGAATACTCAACTCATGGCAGCGCCCTTAAGAAAACACAGCTCTTACTGCATGCTCAAGGCTGCAGCCTCTTTCCAACCTTGGGTAGCTCCCTCACTTGTGACCTTCCTTCTCTCCTTTGTGCACCCACCTGCCATCAGGCCCAACCCCACAAGGACTGGGAAACAACGTGAGATGCCTGATACACCAGGGCTCCCATCCAGCCCCAGGTAATAGTCCCAATGGTGAGCTCTGGGGCACGAAGGCACAGTAACAGAATGAGAGAACCCCTACCCCCTCTCACCCAATTGCCCTACCCTCGCTGGCCACTCACCTCCTCATCCTTATACCAGGACAGTGATTCGGCTGTCAGCACAAACCAGTACTCCTTGGAGCCACCCTTCATCAGGCTAATGTTGTTGATGGTCAACCATCCCCTGCGGATGACCTGGGGGGGAACATGTAGCTTAGCAGGGGACAATGCCCCACAGCCCCAGCCCACCCTCCCAGTGCAGCTGCCAGCGCCCTTGCTCCACAGGAAGGCAGAAAGCCAGGAAAGGGGCAAAGACACCTCCAGCCTAAAGCCAGGAAAGCCAATACTATCCTTCCCTAAGCCAAAAACCAATGTGGCCCCGCCTGGGTGGGTGGGCAGACAAGACACCCTCCCTGGGCCTGGGGCTCATTGGGGGAACCGGGTTGCCCTGACAAGCCCTGTGCTCTCTGTACTAGGTTAACACAGGAGGCAGAAGGAGCCTGGTGTACTGGATTCAGAAGGGTCTCAGGCTTGTGTTTGGGGATGTAGCACACTTGAAGCTGGCTGTTGCCACACAGGACAGGAGGACTTGCCCACGCTGTGGTTCTTTACTGCTCTCCTCTTGGATGCCGTCCTGCAGAACCTCACCATGCGTAGCCTCCACTGCTGCCCCTGTTGTTGGCTCACGAGCGCCCAGTTCACCAGTTGTGGGGGACAGTCCCACCCAGGGGACCTCCTAAGGGACCCTATAAGGACTGTCAGGGCTAGAGATTATGCCCCAAGCCGGTGCCCAGCCTGGTGGCAGAACTGTTGTCTGATTGATAGACACGTCAAGGCTCTGCACTGGGAAGGAGGGGGCTCCTGTGGCCATAGTTGTCATCTAAGTGGGGGGCAGAAGCCAGGTCTGTGCAGGAGGCTCAAGGGGGCTCATCTGACAGCACAGGCAGACTGGGGGTCCACACTCCCTACATCCTGAGCCATGGGGGCATGAGTAGGCCAGCACCCCGCCTCCCCACAGTCAGCCCATTTTGGACTGAGGACCTTGGGGCAGTGGGAAGCACATGGTTATACAAGCAGGGCTTGGGGCTGAAGCAGGGACAGATTGGGCCAGACTCCAGGCTGCAAAGAGCAGACTGAGTTTGGCCAGGGACAGCTGGGAAGGGCCATCAGAGTAGAAGCACCAGCAACAAGGCCCTTGGTGTCTGGGGCCTATCCTAATGTGTAGCCCTCTGGAGGGTCCTCACCTTGCCTCCCCTAGCCTGCCCCCAGCCTCTCCTCAGTGGCTGGGTGTGGGCTCCAGTCCACAAGAAGCCATGAAGACACAGGTGGCTACAAACTCCCAGGGGCCCCTGTGCTAAGTAGAAGTCCCTTCCCAGGTTGAGGACACCATGAAATGATACATGGCACCCCTTGTCAAGGCTAAGGGCACAGACTCTCCCTCCCCAAGATGATGAGACAGCTCTTGGGACTCTTGCAGCTGTCTGGGGCAGGCAGTAACCTCTGTAATCTGCCCACCCATGGCGTGCCTGGGAGGTGAGGGGGAAGAGGGGAGAGTCCCGAAAAAGTCACGGCATCCTGTGGGCCAACAGAGTAACTGGCTCTTCCCAGCCCACCCAGATCATCCTGGTTTTAGCACTGAAGGCTCCATGTTCTGGGAACGCCATTATTTCACTGGGGTGGTAGGGTTGGGGGGTTGCCTTGCCTGGTCTTAGACCGGGTCTGGGCACAGAATGAATACTCAGCAAACATTGGTTCAGTCACTGAATGATAACCAGGGGAGGGAGAACAGGGGACAGGCTGTCAGGGATCCCCAGAGGAGAAATCATTACATAGTGAGATCCCTACCACTAAGCTTAGGCCCAGCACAGTTTCTCAAGGAGACAGATCTACCCAATGACCCTTCTGTGTCTTGGCTTGCTTGCCTCTACCCAAGGTTTGTACTGGTTAGAGCTGGCGTGAGTGCTGGCTGTGCTTTGGGATGCATGGTTATGGGGTGGGGGCCACCCTAGGAATGGCAAAGCAGAGCCTTGGGAGCAGTTAGGCCTGGTATAAGCCCCTGAGATGCCCTTCTCCAAGGGAATTCAGAGATAAAATCCTGCCCTGGGGAGCAATAAGCTATGGGTAGCAGACGTAAGTACTACCAAGTCTAGAGAAAAGGGAGGGGCCAGGCCTCCTCATCAGAAAGCCAGATTTGTGCCCAAAAAACACATCCCAAGGAGACTGGAGTTAGAAGGAAGCGGGTGTGGGAGAGAGAGAAGAGGCAAGCAGGTCTAGTGAGCCAGGGTGCAGAGAGAGGCATGCAGGCACTCTGGGGTGGCTTGGACAGCAGGCAGGAGGAGCACAGCAGGGGTGGACCACAGGCAACCTGGGCCAGCTTTCTGGGTGTCTCTTGGCCTGAGGCACCCAGGCCTGGATAGAATCTAAGGCTGGGAGACTCAGAGGTCATAGCCAGGCCCATGGCAGGTTTGAGCTGTGTGGCTGGGGGTGTGAAATCTGGTAAGAAAAGAAGGACTGGACCTCTTGGGCATCTGGCCTGGTCTATGAGGGTAAGGATACTATTCAAGTTTCAAGGTGACTGGAGGGGGGAACATATGTGGAAAGTGGGAGCCACAGGCCAAGGCCCACTGATTTGTCCCACCATCATGGCTACTCGTCCAGGCTTTTGCTTCGGCCCAATAGCATCTTCTAGGACCTGAGAACAGTGAGGCTTGGGTGCAAGATCAGCTCAGCTACCAGAAAGATCCTGGGGTCACCGAAAGTCTCTACCAGCCTCGGTGACTGGCAGTGGAAGAATATCCCAGAGCAGGGAGACTATGTTAGGGCTGGAGACCCAGTCTTTGCTCTCCAAAGGAGAGCAGACTCAGAGGTGAGTGGTACCTGCCAACCTATTGGGCTGGGTGAGCCCCAAACCCACCTCATGCCCCCCACACTGGGCCCTGTCACAGGCTCTGCACAAAAAGAGTAAATGTTACTTGCAACAGGGATGGCAAATATGATTTACCATGACAGGCCATACCAGTCATTGGTAAGAGAGCTGCCTGCTTGTAGCACTATGGTGAGAACTCTAGGCGTGGCAAGAAAGGGTGCTAGGATCACTTAGTGATGTCTCTCACAGATAAAAGATAAGAGAAGGGGGCGAGTGGAACAGTCTCACCAATGATCATATTATATTTGCCATGGAGGCAGGATAGTGGCAGCAACTACGAAGGAGGACCCTGCTCAATTAGTCATGCCTGCCTTGGGTTCAGGAGGGTTATAATCAGATTGTTATATCTGCCACAGGAACAGGAGTGATGACATGCTTACTGGGAAAAAATATCAGGATTGATTAGCAAGGTGTGATGCAGGCATGAGATGGAGAGGCAACAGGGAAAGAGTGCTGGATATATTAGTCATGTCTACTATGGGCACAGGAGGGGAAAATTTCTGCATGTGGAAAACTGTTCTCTGATCCATGAGTACAGTCTGCCAGGTGATGGTAGGAGCAGCTGCAGCAAAAACCAGTGTCAGTAGGGCTTGAGCAAAATCTTTTATGGCCAGGGAGGTGAGAGGAGGCAGAGGCAGAATATCAGTTGCGTATTTGCCATCCCTGACCTATAGGAAATCAGGCAAACCTGTTAGGAATCAGCTGCAGGGGTAGGAGCCGACAGGGGTGTCAGTCAGGTTAGTATCCATGTGAGTCAATTTACACTTAGGGCAAGGTGAACAAAGTCCAGCGTCAGCCACAGAGTGGAATTTCCAGGTTAGCTTGAGTTTTAGTATTTTTGTTATTTTGGAGGGAAGGGGAAGGAATGTTACAGGGTAGGCAGGGTCTCCATCACTACTAGATTCTCTAGCGTTTGCTACCACACTAAGCAGGTACTTACCAGGATCTCCCCCTTTGAAAATGCAAAGTTAGGATTGTGGGTAAATCAAGGAAGAGCAGGCAGAGGAAGAGAAAAAAGGACGTGAAGGGGACAAAGAAAAAGCAGGAATAGCACAAAAACAGGAGAAGAGAATAGCAGGGGGAGAAAAAGCAAAAGAAAAAAAATTACATGCTATTAATCATATTCATGGTGTTAATATTTAATTCATTATCATCTCCTGAAACAAAAAAGCAACAACATATGTACTACCTACGGCAAGCGCAAAAAAAATTTCATGCAGTGGTTACGTTCCCCCTTCCAAGGGGCTCTAGCATCGTGCAAAGTAAACAGCTGGGTCCCCACCCCCACCCGATGTGGGGAAGGGGAGAAGATGGTAGAAATTTTGCAAAGATATAGGTTTTCTGAACAACAAAAAAAGATGCTGGATACTGGCATTTACAAAGCCGTTTATATTGGCCACGGTACCTCACTGGGGCAAAATGGCAAGATAGAAAACCCTGCATGTGGCTCAAACCACTGCAGCATCCCTTGAGCTGCAGTTTCCCACTGGTTCCCAATTATAGGCTCCCAATCCCTGGGAAAGCCCATTAGGGCAGAGACCTCTCTCCTGAGGGTCACAGTCTAAGCCTGGCCTTGGATATCTGACAGGCCCTTCTGAGTGGGTGAAATTTGCTCCCTTGACCCTGCCAGAGTCTTGTCTCTTAGACTGTTTTCCAAATCCTTAAGTAGACAACAGAGGTCCAGAGAATGAGCCATGTGCCATCGCTGGGGCGTCAGCACCCCTTAGCTCCCTCCCACTACCCAGGGTACAGCAGAGGGCAAAGGAAGGGTGGGCTACCTGATTGGGGATGGCCCTCTTCTTATTCAGCTGTGTGCTCCTCTGCTGGGCACTGAAACCAAAGCACAGGGAGGGTTCACATGGAGGAGATGTAGAAAGGAATGAGGAACAAGCCCTGGTGGCCCAAATGGGGGTTTTCTCATTTGAGGGGCCAAATGACTAGCTACAGGTGGCAGTGGAGAGAAGCCCCCAGCACACAAAGGGCTGCCTAAGGGAACCAGCTCGGGCACAGGGAACAAGAAAATGTATCTGGTTAAATTGTGGCTTCTAGGCCCTGATGTCAGACCACCTCAGAAAGTCAGTAAATTCCAGAGCTTCCAAGAGAAGAGCATGAGAAGCTGGAGCCCCAGGTGGCCAGGAGGTAGCTGTGGTGGCTCCAGGGCCACCTGAGCAGCAGGCTGGTTGGGAGGTCAAATATTTTCCCCAACTTTGATCCCAACACATAGTTGAAAGTGGCTCTAACCACAGAGCAACCAGCCTGGGAGTGAAATGCCACTCATTTTGCATGATTCCTACCTAAGCCCAATTAATTCAGAGGACATTCAAGGTTAACAGGGTCAGTTAACAGGGTGTGTTTCTACAAGGTTATTTGTCTATAGGCCCAGATCTCTGTTCTTCTTATCACCCTATTTCCTGGATAGTCTGTGTTGGCAGAGATGAAGACCACTGCATTTTTTTTCTTTTCTTTTTTTTTTTTTTTTTTTGGGACAGAGCCTCAAGCTGTCGCCGTGGGTAGAGTGCTGTTACATCACAGCTCACAGCAACCTCCAACTTCTGAGCTCTTGCTGAGGCAAGAGAATCGATTAAGCCCAATAGTTTGGGGTTGCTATGAGCTGTGACGGTATAGCACTCTACTGAGGGCAACACAGGGAGACTCTGTCTCAAAAAATAAAAATAAAACCTCTCAGGGTCATATCCCTGACTCCCTTCTTATTTCTTTTTCCTTGCCTCCACCTCCCAAGTAGCTGGGACTACAGGTGCCCACCACAATGCCCAGCTATTTTTTTTTTTTTTTGGTTGCAGCCGTCATTGTTGTTTGGCAGGCCTGGGCTTGATTCAAACCTGCCAGCTCAGGTGTATGTGGTTGGCGCCTTAGCCACTTAAGCCACAGGCACTGAGCCTGTATTTTCTTTAAGTGGGTATCTACTCCATCCCTTGTTGGTTCCATTATATGTGCTACTCCAACAATCACATGACCACTTGTAAACAATTTATATCTACTGTTTCTTATCATATATATATATATATATATACACACACACACACACATAAAATTTTTTTTTCTGAGACAGTCTCAATGTGTTGCCCTTGGTAGAGTACCGTGCCATCACAGCTCACAGCAACCTCAAACTCTTGGGCTCAAGCTATTTTCTTGCCTCTGCCTCCCAAGTAGCAAATGGCCTCCCTAGGTGCTGGGCCTACAGATGTGAGTCACTGTACTCATCTCCTACCCCATTTTCCTACGCACCCACCACAATGCCCAGCTATTTTTTTGTTGTAGTTATCATCGTTGTTTAGCAGGCCTGGGCTGGTTTGAACCTACCAGCCCTGGTGTATGTGACCAGTGCCCTAACCACTGAACCACGGGTGCCAAGCCCTATATTTTCTTTTCTTATTGCTTTAGCTGAATAGCTGTAACTTAAAGAACATGAAAAAGCAAATCTGCTTGGTCACATTCCTTTCCTGACTGCTTGTGGGGTTTGGCTTTTAAAGCTCAGTTGGCTTTTGGGTAATGCAGAAAGTAGGATTCTGTTTCAAGTTCAGTGAAGTCTGGAAAACTAAAAATGGGGTAGAATTTTATTCAACAATTTCTCTAAGATTCAATGAGTTTATTGTAGGGCCTTGCTTGTATTGTTTTGAGCAAGGCAGTGAGAAGCCCAACTTCTGGTTTTTTCCTTTTTAATTTCAGATTAATGAAGATAGAAATGATTAGGTTACAAAGTTTGTGTTTGTTAGTTAAGATCCCTATGGTAGTTGTGTCCCAAGAAGCCCAACTTCTAAGCACAGAAAGGAGTCTGATCAATGCAGGTGGAACCATGCTAAGCCAGCCTTTGCAGCTGGGAGATGGCGAGATCCCTACTGTGGTTTTGTTTTTTTTTTCTGCAGTTTTTAGCTGGGGCTCGGTTTGAACCTGCCACCTCTGGCATATGGGGCTGGTGCCCTACTCCTTTGAGCCACAGACACCACCCCTTACTGTGTTTTTTTTTGTTATTTGTTTTTGAGACAGAGTCTCAGGCGGTTGCCCGTGGTGTCACGGCTCACAGCAACCTCAAACTCTTGGGCTTAAATGATTCTCTTGTGTCAGCCTCCTAGGTAGGCACTGCAGGCACCCACCACATGCCCGGCTACTTTTTTTTGATGTTGTAGTTGTCATTGTTGTTTTAGTAGACCCACTATGGGCGCCGACCCTACTGTGTTGTTTTTTAGGGGCTTCCTGGCTTGCTACAGTTCCCTCAAACAACAGCCAATATGGTGAGTAGCCCCTCTCTCTTGCCTGGCATTTTTCATGTGCCTTGAGGAATTATCCAAAATCCTCCCCTCCTGATAAGGTCTGGCCTCTCTCTCATCTCCACCTTGCCTTGGTCTAGGGTCGGACCCTGCTTTTTCTTGCAGCCTGACTTCCCTGTTCCCAATTCTCTGGGGTCCCTGCCTGTCAGGTGGCTGTCACAACTTCCTTAGAAAGATCTCTCAGGGAGCTGGCGCCCATAGCTCAATGGTTAGGGCATTGGCCACATGCACCAGGGCTGGTAGGTTCGACTCTAGCCAGGGTCAGCTAAATAATAATAACAAAAAGATAGCTGGGGGCTCCGTGCCTGTGGCTCAAGCGGCTAAGGTGCCAGCCACATACATCAGAGCTGGTGGGTTAAATCCAGCCCGGACCCACCACAACAACGATGGCTGCAACCAAAAAATAGCTGGGCATTGTAGCAGGCAACTGTAGTCCCAGCTACTTGGAAGGCAGAGGCAGGAGAATCGCTTGAGCCCAGGAGTTGGAGGTTGCTGTGAGCTATGATGCCATGGCACTCTACCTAGGGTGACAGCTTGAGGCTCTGTATAAAAAAAAATAATAATAACTGGGTGTTGTGGTGGGCGCCTGTAGTCTCAGCTATTTGGGAGGCTAAGGCAAGAGAATCGATTAAGCCAAATAGTTTGAGGTTGCTATGAGCTGTGATAGTATGGCACTCTACTGAGGGCAACACAGGGAGACTCTGTCTCAAAAAATAAAAATAAAAATAAAACCTCTCAGGGTCATATCTTTGACTCCCTTATTTCTTTTTCCTTTTTTTTTTTTTTGAGATAGCATCTTACTCTGTAAGTGGCATGATCACAGCTCACTGCAGCCTCAAACTCTTGGACTCAAGTGATCCTCCTGCCTCGGCCTCCCAAGCAGCTGGGACTACAGGAGCAAACCACAACATCTGACTAATTTTTTATAGAAACAGGGTCCAGTTATGTTGGCCAGACTGATCTTGAACTCCTGGGCTCAAGCAATCCTCCCTCCCGCCTTGGCCTCCTTGGGTACTGGGACTACAGATGTGAGTCAGTGTACCTATCCCCTACTCCATTTTCCTATGCTCACTATGCTTGTAACACTTGGTGTGACAATGCCATCTCCCCATCCTGTAGGCTCTGAAGAGGCAGAGCCATAGCTGGCTTATTCCCTGTATTAGCCCAATGGTACAGCACTGGCTCCTGTAATTCTTCAATGGGCCCCTGGGATGTCCCACCCAGGCCTGGGGCCACCCAACCAGGGCATTCCCATTCACACACCAGGCAAAAGGCACACAGCAGGCAATACCCACCCAGTGACCAGCTGCTCAGTATAGTAACAGCTGGGGGAAATGGGAAGGCCCAGGAATCCAGAGGAAAGAGTGGTCAAAGGAAAAACAGGAGAGATTGTGAGAAGGAACTGTGGATGAAGTGTGAGAAGCAGAAACATCAAAGTAAGGAAAAGACAATAGCAGTGAAACCAGGAAGGGGGAACCAGTGGCTTCTGCCCGCATCCACCAGGAGGCTGGGAGAGCAGGGACAGCTCAGCCAAGGCCCTCAGCTTGCTTGAGCTCAGGGAGGAACCTCCTGATGACAATCTTGTTCCTTTCTTCCTTCCTTCTTTCCACTCATCTTCCTTGTGTCTGGCACAGAACAGACCCTGATGCAACTTCCTCAGGTGCATCAGCAAATGTCTCATCCAGGTGACTACCTAGCTCAAGACATGGCTCTAGAGGTCTTCCCCAAGGAAGCTTGCCTGGATCCTCAAGGCCAGGAAGACTATCCTCTGGGGTCCTATGGGCAGAGCCCCCACTGGCACTGAGTACACAGTGTCTTAACTGCCTGGGGGCCAGTTTATCCATTGCCCCAGGGCCTTCCTCAAAGAGTGAGGCCTATGTCTGGGATTATCCCTGCCCTGTTGCAGAGCTGGGAAGGGCAGGCACACTGGTGGCATCTGCAAAGTGACTGCAGGGAAGCCGGCTAGTGAGCAGCACTGCTATTCTCTTAACCTCTGGCAGAAGGCTTTCATGAGCCTCCAGAACAATCTGAGTGATGCCTAAGCTTGCTAAGGGGGTCCAGAGGCTGACGGGTGACACCTGAGAACACAAGCATTTACATCTACATCCTGCCAAAAGCTGAGATCCCTGCTCAGGCCCCTTCATATAGGCACCATGGAAGATTCTGGTGTTAAATCTATAGTGTACGCCTAGAAGACAGAAAGAACCCAAGCAGCACTTCCCAAAGAGCAGCCTCTGGATGTCTGAGCCGGTGAGATGATGTCTGTGAAAGGGCTGAGTCTCAGAGAAAGACACGTTGGTCTACGAAGGCTCTGACAAGTCCTGTGAGGGTGGTAGCAGTGAAGCAGGCAAGCTTGGCCATTTCCCCCAGGGTCTGGCCACTGGGAGGGCTCATGAAAGGCATGTTGATTACAGACTATCGGGACAGGAACCACTATTAGCCCAGGAAACTTCCATGTGATCTGAAATTGCTCTACCTTCACCCCAGGACCTCTGGCAGAGACCCACCAAGGGAATCCCAACTTCATTGCCTCCCTGGCTCTGAATTTTGTGCCAGCCTGCCACCTATTGTCCCCAAAAATACATACTTGGCAAATCCAATGAAGTCTTCGTGGTTCGTGTTGATGTAGGACTGCTCAATGTCAATCAGCAGAAGAATCTGCAAAAAAGTGGGGGTGACCCTGTGAGTATAGAGCCCAGAATAGTGGGAGCAGCAGTGGCTTGAGCACATCCCACACCAACCAGCAGGGGGCACCCCAGAACCAGGCAGCTTCCTAGCATCTGGGTGGGAGGGTGGTGGCTTCCAGAGTCAGGGCCTCCCAGGCAACTCAGTCTGAGCCAACAAAGCAGAGCCAGACTGCTCAGCAAGGTGGACATAGGTTGACCTTTAGGACTAATCACTGAGGGCCAGAGTCAGCTTGGCCACTCACTGGCCATGGGAGTTTGGCCCTCGTGGAATGGGGTAATAGATGGCCCAACCACAAAGCATTCAGTAATTTCCACCCTAGTGCCTGGGGTTCTTCTTTAAGTGCCATATTAAAACTGTAAAGCCTATTTTGGCCAAATCAGAACATTAAAACATAACACACACACACCCATACACAAGCACCCACATACATGTGTACACATATGCACACATACACAAGTTGGAAAGGATTCACTCTCAGATAAGGTGACTGTGACGACACGGCACTTGCCGAAACCCTCACTAATCCTTTATGTCCTACCCTGACAGAATGAGGTCTGTGTATGGAACCACAGGCCCAGATAACTGCTTGGCTTGGTTCTCACTGAGAATGAGCCAAGCTGGCTCAGGTGACCCCAACTAACCCTGGGCCAGTCTTTGTCCCTCAGTGTGCCTCTGAGTCCTCAAACATAAAATAGGACAAAGCACTTGCGCAGTGGGGTTGTGGCACACCATGCCAGAGTGCTTCAGGTGTGGGAGTCACCAGCCTGAGTCTCGCCAACCCAAGACTCTTAGATCATCCCTGGCAGCATCACCAGGGGGCACCAGGGGCTGTGATGGGGCAACAGCATTCTTGCCGACAATAACAACTACATGAATCAGATTCTCTCTAGATATTGACAGAGCTTGTAGGTTGCAGGTGCTGAGAGGAAATAGGCACAAGTGGATCCATGTCTCAAGGGGGTAACTGGCCAAATAAAAACTAGGGGACCCTCTGAAGGATAAATGAGCTGGTTTTATCACCTCCATGGAGAGAACGGCGGGACCATCCTGCACAGAGCTATGTAAATAGCCTACATAGCACACAGGCTCCCCTCCATTCTGATTTGCACTAATAGTTGCGAAGGGGCCAGAGAAGACAATAAGGCAAAGGGACTTAACACAGGTGTTGGGCCATATGTAGGCAAAATGATGGCCTAGGGCTCAGCAGGTAACATTCCAGGCAGGTGGACTTGTGAGGGTATGTCCCACGTTTTGTGCGCTTGCATGGCTGTACAAGGAAATGCTGAAACACAAAAAGCACCCTAAATGTTCTCTGGTGGGCAGATACACAGCACTGCTCTGCCTACTCTGTGGAGCACTACACGGGAATCACAGCAGCAGAGGACTGACGTACTTGACAGACAATGTGTATGTATCCCAAAGCATTAGGCCAAATGATGGAAGCCAAGAGTCAAAGGCCACATATTATAGGAGTCCACTCAAAATGTCATAGTGACAGAGAGCAGACTGAAGTGGCCAGTGTCTGGGGATTTAGGAGGGTCAACTAGAAAGGAGCACAGGGATGGAAATTTGTGGGGTTGACAGAACCACTCTGGATCTAGATTGCACTGTGTGCTACACATTGCTGTGTGCATTTGTCAACACGCATGAAACAGTACACCCCAAATTTACTATATATAAATTATACCTAAAAATTAAGACAAAAGCCAATACCTGGTCCTTGGTTCTCCCCTCCCGTTCACGGATGTAAGTAGTGACAATTCGCTCTGTCTCCTCTCGCAACCGGGGGTAGGAGCTGAGCTGTGGAGATGAGCAGAGAGGGATCATTGGCTGGATCTACACGGCATAGGACTCAACATATAGCACACAATTGGAACATGTGGGGGGAGGGAAAGAGATACAGGGAGTCCACTGAGCCCCCACTCTACTCCTGTCTCCCTGCTCCAACTGGGAGACAGGAGAACAGTGAGGGCACCATGGGCTGTAGAGGATATCAGGGCACCCATGCAAGAGCAGAGTTGCTTTTCAAGCCAGCAAGTGGGAGGTGGCAGAGAAAGTGGGTGCCTTGTGTTGGCCACTTGAGGGTTCCAGGCATCCCCCTCCCGCCCAACACTGGGTGACAGTAAGAACATTAGTGGCCTATGCCAAGCTTGTGAACAGAGCTCCTACTCTAGGATGGTGAGGTCACATCTGGGCCATCAGCCTCGGAGGGACCTCCCCCAGCAGAAAACCATCCCTAATGGCTGCAATTGTGGCCCCTCAACCCCCAACACCTCCACCACCCCTTCCCTTTTGCAGTGACCTAACCAAGCCACGCTCATGGTGAAGTTGCATCTTCTGCGGTCTGGGTTAAGTCCACAATATGGGGAAAATGGATAGTCTTCTGCACCCCTTAACACGAGAACATGCAGGCTACATGGTGACATGTTTCCACTGCTGTGGTGCTGGTTGGAAAACTACTTTCTCTAAGAGTTCCAGGAATGGTGCTGCTCATGATGGCTCATGCCTGTAATCATAGCACTCTGGGAGCCTAGGGCTGAAGATCCCTTGAACTCAGGAGTTCAAGACTTGTCTGAGCAATGGTAAGACCCCATCTCCACAAAACAAAAACAAAAAACCTGTAGTCCCAGCTACTCGGGAGGCTGAGGCAAGAAAATTGCCTGGATCCAAGAGCTGGAGGTTGCTGTGAGCTGTGACATCACAGCATTCTACCAACGGCGACAAAGTGAGACTCTATCTCAAAAAAATAAAATAAAATAAATAAATAAATAAAGAGTTCTAGCAATGGACACTGCTTAGTAAATGTGAAATATGTGGCTATGTTGCAGATCAGGTACCCCTGTGAACAATGACAACTGCAAAGATGGGACACGCATGCAATGCAACTCCCCATGTTCCGTCTGCTGATTCAATGCTGTGACATTGCTAAGCCATAGGTGGTCTGCAGGGGGTTCCTGCCGAGGCAGAACTTTCCAGATGTTTGGGTTGAGACTAACAAATGGAAGGGGGAAGACGGGGACAGATGCAGAGATGATAATAATGAAACCTGTTACCTTCTCGGCACACTTTTTAATGACCGTGGCCAGTTCTGAGACCACGAGGTCAACACACTTCAAACTTGGCTCTTTGAGTTTTACAATCTGTTTTTTCACAATGGCTTCAAAGGCCATGTCGGGGGTGAAGAGCCCCGTCCTGGGTCATGCGGAGGGTGGGACGAGGCAGAAAGACACCCAGAGACAGTGCAGGCCACACACACAGGAGACAGAGAGAGAGAAGAAACCAGAGTCAGCTGTTAGTCCATGCACAGAGGAACCTGCGCCCGCATTTGCCCCAGAAGCTGCTTCGGATCAAAGTGTTCTGGGGCCTGGGGGTGGGTTCAGACCAGGGTTTAATCATAGAAGCGCTGGGCATGGTTGCCATCGTATGCACAGCTGAGGTGTATGGAACCCTTGGATTTGCCTGTCTGTGACAGTGGGGTCTAGGACGACAAACTCTAACCTATCCGGGCATTTTCCCTCACTCCCTCCCTCTTCTAATTGAAGAAGCTTAAGAAGCAAATGTGGGCTTTTTCAGTCTGAGAAGAGAGGGATCAAGCAGAGATTCCCTGGCACCCAGAGCGCTGGGGACAATGGCCACGCAAGCACAGATTGCCCACTGGGAGGCACTTCAGCTGCTTGGCCAAAGCATGCTGCCCTGGGAAACATGCCCTGGGAGCCCTGGTATGTGGGGAGCATGGGGTGTCCTGCTGCGTGGAGGCGGCTGCTCATTGAGGGGACACAGAGCCACTGTGCTCGACCCAGGATGGGCTGTCCCTGGGGATGGCACAAGGTGCAGGGAGCTGATGTGGGCACATAAGAGCCAGCCGGCCTTGTCAAGTGGGCACTGGAGCACTCATTATGCTGTTGGTGTTTGAGCCTTTCCTAGCACCACAGAACACAGAAGTCGCTGGCTCTGGGGAAGCCTGGAGGAGGCTGGGCATTTGTCAAGAAAGGGAGATGGCCAGGGAAGTTTAGGGAGCTTGGCCTTCAGCAGCTGACACAGAATCCCTTTCTGCTTCCCAGAAGGCAGCAAAGCAACAGCCCAGTGAAACCCCAATTCCATCAGACACATGCTAGGCTTGGTATCAGGGTCCCAGGGAGACTTGTCTACCAGCATGGCCAGTCTTGGAGGCCTGGCACACCCTGGTTGGGCCCAGACTGCTAAGCTCCTATCCCAGCCTCTGGCTAGAGGCCACATTCAAGGACACAGAAGCAATCTCGGGGTGGGGGTGGCAAATGGCACCAGTGGGATTGATGCAACACAGGGAACCTGATACCAAACCCCCATACCCCCATTTCCACAAGGCCAGGAGTCACCCTGCCAAGGGTGCAATACCTTACTGGTACACTGCCTAACTGTACTGATTAGCTCCTGGATTACCAGGTCGACACATTTCAGGCAGGGCTCTTTCAGCTTGACGACCTGCTTTTTCACAATGGCCTCGAATGCCAAGTCCGGGGTGAAGAGCCCGGTCCTGAAACCGTCCATACCCGGGGGCAGGGGAGATAAGTCAGAGAGAAACAAATCACGGTCAGCAATTTCCTGGACGCTGGCCGGGTCCCCGATGAAGAATGAAGGTCATACCACATCTGGGAGTTGGATGCTAGAGTCTTCTGCTGGGAAGCCCCCACTGTGACCCAAGGACCCCATGGCAATGAAGGTCCAGGCAACTGGAGTGACTACCTTCGTTAGATTAAACAGGGGACCAATAGGCTCATAGGGGACCCGTGATGGTAACAAATGCTTCCTACCATCTAACTCAGTTCTGTACCCCTCCCCCACAAGGCAAATCTACAGTGAGCTTTCTTTGTTTTTTTATTTCTTTTATTTTTTTATTTTATTTATTTATTTATTTTTGAGACGGAGCCTCAAGCTATCCCCCTGGGTAGAGTGCCATGGCATCA